AAAATGTTAATGAATGTTGATAGTAACTTGTATAGTTACTGACTGATCTACATGCTCAGAATCGATTCAGATAGCAGTGTGCCAACTCAAAGGTGTTTAATTGCTTCACTCCAACACGATGAATACACACAAGTGTGTAATTTCAGAGCAGAACTGAGACGGTTACTGAGATTAACTGTGCCGTTAGTTCCAAGTGCACTGAGATCCGTTTAGGCTTATAAGCATTAAATAACAGTCATCAGAGAAAACCAGGGCAATACTACTAAACGAAAAGCAATTGAAACCAACATATCGAAGTGAATTTGGCCTAGTATGATGAGGCTATATCAGCAGAGTGGTCAATTTTTATGCCAGAGGAGGTCAGCCGCAACACATTTGCAGATGGACGTTACATAAATCATATAAATAAATATATAAAATGTGGATGTGTAATTGCAGGGCTGGTTTAATTCTGGTGTTAGAATAATTCCATGATGTTTAAAAGCTTGAAATAAACATTTCCAGCTAATAACGGCTCGACATTATCTCTTTCATTCTTTCTCTCTCATCTTTAACGTCCCCAGTGAAAATGAATTTACAGTCTAATTACAGAACACGGCAAGCGTAGAAGGGACACAAATCAGCCATCATTAACCAATGACAGAAAACTGCCATTTTGTAATTGAAGTATAGATCTGAATCAATATTTAGAAGTCCCAGCAGGTTACAGAGCGACGCAGGACCGAGTACTGGGATCTTCTTTGTTAATTATACAGAACATAATCTCAAAGAAATGAAACTGCAGGACTGTAAACATGATTTCATTGTATATATATAGGCTACTGTATATATAGCATAGTTGATATAATGCAATTTAGAAAATATCAAATATTGGTCACAACCATGCAGATCATGTACCACAAATCTTAATGAAAGTATTCAAATGAATATTTATGATTTAGATGCCCAGATTTTTATAATTAGAATGTCCTTAAGGGATGTAATATTTCAATACCGAACCTCGTCGTGCAGTGCGCTGTAAATAATACATACAAAGTAATGTAATGATTTGCTCAAAGCTAATTTAAAAAAGCCCATGAATCAGTTCATAGAGCAATACACACTGACATTTACTCTGTGCTCATTCAGCTCCCTGCCTCCAAAAGCTAGAGCACCAGAATCGGGCGTTCATGGAGAGCTTTGCTATTAAACGCAGCTCTAATAGGCTTTCTCGCCACGCTGTATCTTCTTCTTCCTATACCGGATAGCAAACCTCACACTGTCTATGCCGTCCCCTGCCCCACCCTATCTCAGCTTTTACCTCCGGCCTGTTAAAAATGATATCAGCTCGTGGAGGGCGAGCATTAGCATTTGCATTTTATTGGAGGCATGGAGATTTAGAGCAGTGGATACATCAGCTCTGAGCAGACAGAATTAGTTAACAATGCATTATCTGCCTTTTATGGCGGCCATAATTCTCTCACTCCCCCGGCTCGGGGAAGAGATGGGGGTGGAGGAGGACTGTGCTCGCTCCAGGGTGGGGGCTGCTGGGGAGAGGCTGGGCTTTGTTTCTCCAAGCTTTGCTGCGCTTTAAACGCAACTGAGGCCCAAAGAGCATTGCTGCGCCATCAAGATGCACGGCTCGAACAACAACCCAATAGAGGGGCGATAAGTGTCTCGAAAGGCCACGGCTAATGGCGTGACCTTGCGTTCTTAATGATGCCGCACATAATACTGCACTACAATTCAGCAGAATCATGGTGTAATGGCGCTTTTGTGTGCATTTAGGTTTGGAAAGGGATTCGAAAAAGGTCTCATATCGTACTTCTGAGGCCTACAGGACTCTGCTCGCCAAGCGACGGCGCTCGAGTGCACTTTGTGTGTGCGTTAAGGCGGTTTGGATGCTGCAGACTTCCCCTCCCAAACTCCAGCCCTCGGCCACAGCTGTTCAGTGGTCCCCTTGACAGCCATCTATTTGAGCTTATGTGCAGCGAAAACCCATCGGACCACATGCATCCCAGAAATCTTGCACACTGACTCTATTCGCTGCTTGGAGACTTTTTTTTTTTTTGCTTCAGCAAACATATTCAAAGCGTGCACTCTTTCCTTATGGGTAAAAACGTCGCTCATGCAAGCCTCAACGTCCTGCACGTAGTTCAGCATTGTGGGTTTCGCCATGGGGATTATGACTTTAATGGGATAGTTTACCAAAAATGAAAAATTTGACATAATTTACTCACCCTCATGTTGTTCCAAAGTCATGTATGACTTACTTTCTTCAAAAATCGCTTTGTTTCACAAAAGAATGTCATTCAGGTTTGATTACACTCTTATATGGGCTCTTTATGGCATCTATGGTTCCATTAAGAACCTTTAAAATCTATGGAACCTTTACATTTTGCAAAAGGTTCTTTAGATTTTTTTTTTAGTTATTTTAAGAACTGTTCACTGAAAGGTTCAAAAGGGTCTTCTATTGCATCACTCCGAAAAGTCCCTTTTGGAGCCTTTATTTTAAAGAGAGTATAGAAATGTCTTTTTGGTGAACTATACATTTAAACTCACACGCAAAATTTTCTATTTCAACCGTATTTTGTTCCGTCATTAAGGCCCGTTCATAGGCTACTATAACGATGGCGTAAAAAAAAAGTTACATTTAAAAGAATAGCAGAGTGAGTCCACATCACAACTATAATGATACAATATAATGATGAACGATATCGTTGGAATCACTTTCAGAACGATTTTTTTTCCAGCTGATGATGAACGATAAAAATATTGACAGGCAGCCAATCAGAATCCATTCTGCTGTAAAGAGCTCGAGCATTTAAAGCAGCTGACCACGAAACTGCAGCACGCGCTTGTAATAAACATTACTTTATCGTGCGTTGGTGTGGAGGACGATAATATAGATGTCGTTGTAGTTAGCGTCCTTGTTGTGAACGTTTTTTTAAGTGTATTTTTGTCTAATTTTTGTTAATGTGACTTTATTCTATACTTCTCCTTTCCTGATCTGCATTCCTTGAGTCCTGGTGGAGCAGTGCGAGTGTGACAGGCTCAGCTCTCCAGTGTTCCATAAAGCATAAATGCAACCTCTCAGTTATCTGATGAGACTTCTGCTCCCTGGGGCTGAAAATTTACTAGTGACCTCTGCATTCCTTTTCAGAGCTGAACCGCTTCCCCTTTTCCCCTTTGGAAAATTCCACTGCCACTGAGGTAGTCGAGAAAGCGGTATTAAAGGGAGGAGTTCCGGCTCAGACGCTGGATTGTGTGGAGCTGAGGCCATGAAGGAGCTACAAGTCACATTCACAATAGTCAAAATGCCTCAGAGACGGAATACATGAGGAAGAGGCTGAACTGGAAGTATGTTGAGGCTAAAATCTGCAGGGCAGGGCTAGTGCCTGTGCAACAGCATACCGTCATCAGAAAGATATGGACAAATGTAGACTAAGGCATTCAAACATGGGGAAGTTGCATGCAACTGAGTGAACATTACTGAAATTGGCATTAAACTGCTTCAAGACTAGGTCAAAATAGTGAAAAGTAGATATATGAGCTCTCAAATCAATGAGCAATGAATTATGAGTTATATATGAATATGCATTTATACGCCAAATATTTCACTTTGAATTAGGATAAAAAGCTTCTTTTTTTTATCAATTGATAAAATTATTATTATTTTTACAATACTTAGTAGAAACCATAGAGGTAGAAACAAACAGGCAAGAGTTGCTCCATTATGACATCTGCTGGTACACATCAGCACTGCTTTTCAGGTCAAACTTATCACTGCACTGCAATTACAACTGTACTAAATAGGATTTTGCATCTCTCAATTTAAAGATTGTTTCAAATTTAGTTTTTCTAACATTGCATAGAGTGAAACTGGCATAATCTCAGCACTACAATGAATTTATTTAGTATGACTGGAGTCAAAAAAGCCAGAGTTGAGGGTTTCCAAAAACATTAAACTGTTAGTGTTGAAAACTTGATTTACTACAATTTGGTACAGGACATTTAAAAAAAAAAAGGCTGTGCACATAACATAGCAAGACATCTATTGTTGCACATTTTAAAATCAACTGCTAGAACTGAGTCCTCTGTGGAAATGATCATGTCAAGGATGGTCCTTTTGCAACAACAAAAACATTTTTAAAATTGTAACCAACTGTTTAAATGTTTAAAAACTCCCTTCCCCACTAGGTTTAAACCTTTCCCACTATTCTACTGCCAGTGGACTATGTCCATGGGTTTCAAATAAAAGACGTTTCCTGTTGTAAATGAAAAGTAGCTTTGTTCAACTATGCTCTGTAAAAACAAAAAAGCACTACAGAGCACAAAACGCCAATGTAGTCACGTGACCTTGATAAACAACTTTATTGAGTCAACTCTAGGTTAAAAAAGTAATAAGAACCCGACATATGCTTAAACTACCACGTGAATGAGGACAGCTCTGAGTTCATGAGGTCAAACAGGGAATGTGTTCACCAAAATCAGCCACAAGAGGGAGTATGTCAGTTAGACTTATGAATGAATATCAAGGAAAAATTGTGGAAACCGATTAAAAATGTCCCATTTCACACTCAGGTGATGACGATTGTCTGCCCTCCTACAAGCAAGAGTGACGAGTTTAAAGATTAAGAATGGTTAAAAAGGGCCAATTTTGACGCTAGAAAAGTTATATATTTTTTTACACGTTAGAGGGATAAAGTAAAAAAATAAATGGATGCCAATAATTTTCCTAATTTTAATCAGGGCAAGTTATCATAAGGTAAAGTTCTGTTATGTGGCTTTACTGACAATTAGAAGCAAAAACAAAACAAAAACAAATCAATTACAGGATTCTGGCCCACAGTTATTACAGTTAAAAACTGTGATACAGCAAAATTCATTCTACCTGATTGGAAAAACCCGTTATAGATGAACGCTGAACCTCAACCGTTTTTTTTTTTTGTTGTTGTTTTTTTTCAGTCATGTCAGCAATACTACGAAATCAACTGAGAATAAAAGAGTTAAAAGGTTGGCATGTACGGGTTTTCATGGTTTCACATCTACACTAGCACACAATACATCATAAGAACATAGTTGTAGGGGCACAAATACACAAATAATGACAAAAAAGAAGGAAGATCAGAGAGAGTAAGAGAAAAGAGATCACATTCCACGGCTCTCCGTTGCTGCCACAGTTCACCATGGCCTTTCGGTGTGTGTCTGGTGAGTGATGCTGTTTCATGAAGGGTGGGCAGAGGTTTTGAAGGTGGGCAGTAACCTCCATTACTCGCTGGCTGTTTCTTTTTCTAAATGGTCCGTTAAAAGTTGGCTATGAGAGTGTCACCAGTGCGACAAAGAGCACAAGGTTTGGAGGACTGTGTCTTTCCTCTACCTTATGCCATTTAAACAGCCGTGGCACTCTTTTCCTTCTTATCGCCGTCTTCATGCCAGGTCAGACGCTCCTCATAGAAGGCAATGACGATCTGTGGGCACTTGTGATTGGCTTCCTTTGCAAGCACAAGGTCTGCCTCATCAGAGTCCTTCCTGTGGTGGGACATCAGTGAAAATTGCATTAATTGGACAATTGCACAAGGTTATACATCATCCTGCACTGAATAAGCTCCAGTTCTGATAAAAAAATATCCTTAAAAACACTTCTTTATTAAAGCTTCTTGCACCAAGTTCATTTAGGAGAGCTTGAACAGAATTAAACATTAAACCATTTTTAAAGACCTCATGATTGACTAACTTCCAGATACTAGAGCAGATACTGATTTTGTTTACATTCACTACATATTTTTCTGTCATAAAAATCTGGGTTTCTGTAGAGATTAAAAAAAAACAAAAAACAGATCACTTCACTTTTACTTAAACAGGCTGGGGGACATTCAACTAACTTCAACAGGGTAACTGCAAGTTTAAAATACACAAGACGTTTTAGTCAGCATTGAAATTAGTTTATGTACTAATATATCAACACAGACAAATTTCTGGTGTAATATTGTGTTTAAAGAAAGACAATAAAAAGATTATTGTGCAGATACTAATCAAATCTGTATATTGAATGTGTTAAAATAGTTATTGGTCTTTGGGCGGCCCAGAGAGAAGCTGCAAGAGTTTAGATTCAATTAAAAGCCAGATTTGGATTATTGTGCAACCAAAACACCAAAAAAAAAAAAAAAAAAAAAAAAAAAAAAAAGATTTTCATTAAAAAAAAAAAATTTATTAGATTTGTAATTAGAAATAATTATATACACTGGGACTCTAACTTTGAAATGCCTATGCTTTACTACTCCCGGCTGCTAATTCAAAATGATGGAGATAAAACATGCTCTCCAACAACTATCTTCAATATATTACGATACTAACACCCTACAGTAAAGATATTAATATCAATTCATCAACAGTGGATCATAAGAGAGATGTATGGTATTCATTGATTGTGAACTCCTCTGAAACAGCCCCTGTACAACATTTTTACTTTGAAATTGAAGCGCTCAAATTTATTAAAATCATAGCCCTTTTGAAGTTTAATAATCACATTAGGCTGCATCACGATTCCAGTTTCTCTGTCCCAAATTGTAAGACTCCCTTTAACCCACTTAAGATAATTAAGACATGTTATGGCCTTAAATTCAATCAAACTGAATTAAGACTTTTTAAGGACCCACAGAAACCCTGAAAATATATTCAGGGTTATATATGAAGCTATGCATCATAGTGTTGCACGATATACCGGTACTAGAAAGGTATCGTGATACCTTGCTATTAAAAAGGGTACGATATGAACTTTTATTAGTACCGGTACTTTAAAAGTGACAGCACTCTAAATAATAAGAGCAGTATTTCTTAATTTGCGTTGCTGTGTGACAGCAGGAGTCAGGATGTGTGTGCAGAGCTCCACTTCCACTGTTTACATGCACTAAACAGCGGAAGCAGAACAGTAAAATATATACGCGCAGCGCTTGGCAAAGAAACATGCATGCATGAGAAAATAAAACGTGGGACGTGCTCGCGCTCGCGCTGTCGGGCTCAGACCTGAAGTTGCGCGCACACGCCTTTCAGATGTGATCATCACTTCCGTTCTCTTTTGCGGATTATTAGGTTTGAATAATCAAAATTCTATGTAAAAATGCACGTCCTGGCTAGTATTCACGTAAACACAGTCGGGTATGTCTTTATTGAACGTAAACCATTTGTATAAAGAAATTGTATGTATTGCGTGCAGGTCTTAAAGGGCCGGACCGGCAACCAAACATTCTGTGTGATTAATGTTCATCCAACAACAAAAGAAAATAGACAATCATCTAATGCTTGACTGAATAAATGTAATCTATTTATTAAGAATCAGTCTGTAGTTCATTTATAGAGTGATGACATTATTTTTTCAGCTACAGAAGGTCTATTTAACAGTAGCATTCAAAAAAGAAATTAAGCACTGTTTATTTTATTTGTCTCATAGTATTTGTCATATTGTTTAATTTGCTTTTTTGCTTATTTTTAATAACAAAGATAAAATAAAACTAAATATCTACATTGTAATTATAAAATTACATTTAAATAATATTAAATGACTTGTATCATGAAATAAGATTTTGGCCATCCCAACCTGTTCAGAATTGTGAAATTTTAGCGAATTTTAGCATGATTGATAATGATGTGATTGTTGCAAACATCTCTGTAAGGACGTTCACACTGGCATGTGATTGTTAGGCTATTATTTTTGATAAAGGGGAGGGAATTGTCAAAAAGCAGGGCAGGGACATACTGGTCAAGTGAGTTTTCAAATTTTTTAAATCATTAGTACAACAATGATTTGTAAGTTCTGTCATATTTTACTGTTTTTTTTGTTGTTTTTTTGCCGTGGTATCGATTCAGTATCGAGGTATTCTGGTCTGGTATCGTGACAATACTAATGCCTCATATTTGCCCACAGCTTTATATTAGAAATGTTAGAGATAGGCCTAGTCATTTACAAATTTGTGAAAGCAGTGAACACAGAAAATGCAAAAATACAAATTTTCGTCATTTATTACGCAACTATGTAGTTTAATTATGATTCATTGTATTATGCCAGTGTACAGCTAGTAACATTTGACCAATGGAACATTTAGGCAATAGACAAGTAGGATAACATTCAGTTTATAATGCAATCCTATATGATGCAAAAGGCTACATTTGTAATAAACACTGTATTTTTCTGCCTCAATCTATGAAGAAACCCAACATAAGATCATAAAAGGAATACACTTTTGGACTCAGTAGGCGATTTTCCAGCATCGGGCCAACGGTTCAAAAGATTGGTAAGGAACGGTTTCCAGTTATATTTCTACTTGAGCTTGGAAAAGTGGCTATTGTTTTGTGTAACTTCTGTAGTCTGTTAAAGTGTGATCATTTGTCATGTATGGTAAGTTTAATATAGCGTTTACAGTTAAGTGTACCAGTCAGGAACTCCAATTATATTTGTAAACAAGTCAAATATAAATAAATGCTGAGTGGAAACTACAATGATTGGTTTCAAATGTACAGGTGTAAATAGGTGTAAAATTCAGACAAAAGAAAATTGAGTCTTCAGTCTCACACAGGGCAGGAGTGTGAATGTGAGCAAAGTTCAGACAAAGAAACAATAACGGGGCAGTTGCATGAAATCAGACATAATCCCAGGTGTAAATGAGGCCATTGAAACTATTGTCCTAACATCCATCTCGGGTGATCCAATCACAATTGGTCAGTCGAGAGACATCCCTGTCATTAACATGCATATCGAGACCACTTGTGATTCGATTTAAATCTAATTTAAATGACAAATACATAGCAGTTCTAAATTCACATTTTAACAGGGTTTTTCCTGCATTGAAAATATTTGGTGGCCGCCTAAATGAATCCTTGTTGAATTTATTTTTTTATCATTTAATATGACGATACCTGCCTTTCTACTGTACCGGTACCCGCTGATAGCCGACTCCTTTAAAATGTGTTTTGGCAGCACTGAGATGTAACCAATCACAGACATATCTGTCGAGCATGTGAAAGTTATGGCCAATCAGATTAGTTCGAATCCGTTCAACACCACTCGAAACACCAGAGTTTTCGTTCAGCGAAAGTTCTGCACGCTCGCAAATCCTTTCTTAATAACCAACAAAGTATAAAAACAATGTCAGTAAAAGATTCATTGCACAGCGTAAACAGCTTAATTGATAATAACAGGAGTTTTTGCAAGAGTGCAACTTTGTGTACCCTGCGTTGAATTTAAGCTTCAGTGATTATGATGGTAGCGATCTTTGTTTGCATTCTGTATATAATTTATATATTTTCATGCTGCTAACAACACATTGCAAAGTTTCTGGCTTGGCAAACGTATTTAAATGCGTGATTGACAGTGATAACCACAGCAATGGACTGAACAATAAAATCTGATACTGTATGTCAAATGATCTGTTCATTAAGTTTTGGGAACTAACTTTTCAAAGCAGTCACTCTGTGACTTTTTACATATAAATTTACAGATTTTTTTTTTTAAAATATAAAATAGTTCCAAGCACTTTATTTGATGATCTGTCCTGACAGTAATTATTTTTTATTTAACAAATAAACAGGTTAATATTATCCCTTTAGTAATATTAAGTTAATATAACAGTTTGTAATATTAAATAAATAATAAGTTGATGTTACAAACTGTTTCTTAGCATTTATTTATTATTCAGTACTGGGCTCACAGATCACATGGGTACTAGGCTACTTTAAAATGTGTGTGGTTGACCATGTTCATCCTCCACCATAGATAACAATTTTTGACAGAGAATATGGTCAGATTTGTTCATTGAAATAAATTGCTCACCACTTCATAAGGAACATAAGGTCTCCACAAGAGTCTGTTGCTCCAATAATCTTCTCAGGCTCCAGGCCTCGCTCAAATCCTCTTGCTACAAGAATCTCATCCTAAGAAGAACAAAGACTAAGATCAAAATCCCCTAAATTACTCAAACTAGAAATATCATTAACACCACCACCACCACCACATTAAATACACTGCCCACCACAACAATGCCACTTAAGTAAGAAATGATTTAAGAAACATATTTTATAATTAATTTCAGCCCTCTGGATATATTTGCATTATCAAGATGGATATTGCATGGTAATTACATGCAAATGAAGCTTGAGTATGGGCTAAACTTTTGATAAGCCTGTACCTCCTTTTTCTTTTTGGGTTTACTGCCACTCCCGTTCTCGTCCTCTGAGTTTTTCCTTTTGCTTGTGCTGCTGCTGCCGCTACTGTCTTTGGGACGGGCCAAAGAAGAGCCTGTGCTGGAGGGCTTGCTGCTGGGTGGGCTTCCACTGCTTCCCTTTTTATAGGTTTTCATGAACTCCGAGATAAGCTCTGGGCAGTCCAGATTCTTCTCCGGTTCCCATGTGTTGTGTTTGCTGCAAGACAATGCACAATCAATGATGAAGTAAGAACATTGTATTTCCTCGTATTATGTGTGCATGAGATATACTAACAGGAAGTTTGCACACTACTAAAATTGCCAAGAATTGAGTGATCTTCAAACTAATTTCTTAAATGGTTTGGTTTAGAATTCAGACAGGCCCATTGCATCTCAGTGTGAAAACTGCTGACGTGTTTCATTGTCATTTCATGCATTTGAAGACTTTTACATGCAGCAACACCCTACATGTTCCTAAGATGTGAAAACAGCCTATTTCATTGCGTAAACACCCTTAAGTCCCCAAGATACTTCAAGCAAAATCGAAGAAAGAACTGGTGTGACATCATTTAAAACAAAATCAGCCATTTTTCATGTTTGATACTGTAGAGCTGCTTACCTATAAGCAATATATTGTGTAAAGTGCTAAATAAATAAACGTGACATGACTGGGGTACTAAATTGCAGAGAAAGTGCAAACATATGAAAGAAATTCATACAGGTTTGGAACAACGAGTAAATTACAGAATTGTCTTTTTGGTAGAACTATCCCTTTAACTGCTGTTTCTCAGCACTGTCACTTGTTGTGTTTATTTTGTTATTGAGAGAAAGGCGCACAGCACATATTTACATATTCATCTAAATGGCATTCTCAGCAATGTGGGCGTCAGGATGCTCGCTAACAGTATATCGCTGCTCACGCATTTCGAACCCCTAGGTGAAAATGAATAAAAAAAGAACTTCACTGCGAGTGTATCTGGGCCTTTTGATTATTGTAAAGGGCAATGCTGACTTACTCCGTAAAGCCTTTCCACTTGAGGAAATATTCTACACGGCCCTTCACAACTCTCCTGTCCAAGACCTTCTCCACCATGTACTCTTCCTCATCTGAGGAAGCAGCCTCATCATCTTCACGGTTCTGGTTCTTCTTTCCCATGGCTGATTCTAAGTGTCTTCCTCTGAGCTAATGTGACCTCTGTGGCTCCCTGGTCTGGGGAGGAAAATGGTCAACTGAAAAAAAGAAAAAGGAAAAAAACATTAGCAAGACTATGAGTTGATGCTATTTACCATATAAAATTACGAAGAATAAAACTCTGCAGGGTGCTCATATTTGACTGTTAAGGTGCATATCCACTGCAGATTTTGATCAAAACAAACACTTGATAGTTCTATTAAGACTCTAGAAAAAGTTTATTTCTATTGCACCTTTGTTTTGTTATCTTTAATTGTACTATTGCTTGTCATTTGCGATTTATATTTGATTACAGTTTATTTAAAAAATTGCCAAAGAACACAGAAAAATGTTTACTTAAGAAATCAGTTAGCAATAGTTTCTGCTGTGGTATTGAGAATCGTAAGATTTCATAGGTACAAGTAAATATCGACTATTAAGGGTGTCATGATTTCGATTTTAAATCGAAATCGACCGAAATCAAGTCACAATCTCGAACTTCGAATAAAAAAAATGGAATCGTCGATGCTGCCGCGCCCCCATATCACGTCCGGTCGGCGTGCCAAGCGGAAGAAAACACGCGTGTTGAAGTGCTGCGAGTCAACCTCCTCTAAATGAGCTACGTCTACTCTTTCATTGAAGTCGCCGGTGTGGAAGTATTTTGGATTTCCAGTGAGTTATGCTGACAACGTTCACGCTTCAAAAAAGCCACAGTTTGCAAGCTCTGCTAGGTGCGTGTACCATATTCTTCCACTGGCAGCACGACTAAGGCCGGAGACACCCTGGCTGCATGGCGTGAGCGTGGCGTAGGGGTGTGCGATATCACGGTTTTTGATCGTGGACGATTAAAATGTCTCCACGATCTGCTTTTGAAGAAATATCGTAGTATCGTGCATTTTATCAGTTGCAGTTCTGGCGCCGAGCTCCGTCTCAACATACAACAAATGTTAACGCAGAGGAACGGGACACTGCAGTTCACAGAAGTTCATTATTTGCATGTGCTTTAAAGCCTTGCTGGTTAAACATGTAATTCACGTGCTGATGCGCTGTTCTGACGTGTGCTTTCTGAGCGCATACACCCGAAGCACACGGGCACTAAAAGCCTGTCTAACAGCGTCTGTTTACTGGACTACGTTATAAGTTATCTTTCGAGTCTTATTGCGCTAATATTGTCAAATACACACAAGGTTTACATAAACAAAGTTGGTTATGTCTAAAGTGAAAGCAAACAGAAAAAAAATGAGAGAAAATCTGCTTGTCAAATGCGTGTCTCTGTGCGTGTATATTAGACGCGTCGCGTGCAGCTCTTAAAGCGACAGTAGCCAGTTAGTAAACAAGCTGCCTCTTGTCTTTAAAGAGATAGTTCACCCAAAAATAAAAATTCTGTCATTATTTACTCACTCTAATGTTGTTCCAAACCTGTATTAATTTCTTTCTTCTGTTGAAAATAAAAGTTATTTGGAAGAATGTGGCTAACCAAACAGTTGCTGGTCCCCATTGACTTCCATAGTAGGAAAACATATACTATGGAAGTCACTGGAGTACAGCAACTGTTTGGTTAGCCACATTCTTCCAAATAACTTTTATTTTCAACAGAAGAAAGAAACTTATTCGGGTTTAAAACAACTTGAGAGATGTTTGGGAGAACTATCCCTTTAATGTTAATAAAACAACAAAACACAAAGAGGAAATCACTCACTGCTCTTGACTGAGAACTTTAGTAGTAGCTTTAATAATAATCAATGTATAATTTATACAGTGAAGTCTATGTTGTGTTTTATTTTTTATTTGTTCATTTAGCCTAATTACTTTCTTCAATGCTACTGTTAAATACCCCTACTGCAGCTGAAAAAATAAAGCACTGTTTTTCATTTGTATATTAAGTTGTGTATGCTTAATGTGTATCTTTGTTCCTAATTCTTAATAACAAAGAAAATAATGATAAAGATTTTTATCTTCGCCACTTTGGCCTAAATGTCTGCCATTCTTTTTTCTTTTTCTTTTTTTTAAATAGGGACATTAGTTTGGCTGTAATGCTCAGTCACTTGCAAAATAGTAAAACCAACATGAAAAAGAATCGTGATAAAATCGTTAATCGTGATTTTCCTGAAAAAAATCGTGATATGATATTTTTGCCATATCGCCCACCCCTAGCGTGGCGTTTCTGTTGCGTGGCGGCTGCGTCGCGTTTTCTGTGTCTTTGCACACCAGAAACGTGTCTGACGCGGCGCTGCTGCTGCTAGGTGATGTATAGGGAGGACGTATTGTGGAAGCCCTATACTTAATGTTAAGCATAAATATAAAGCCTACTGATAAAGACAGAATAGACTACATTTTTTTTTCGTTCTGTATTGACAGGTGCAATATTTGAAAAATGATCATTATTTATTTTTAAATTATATGTCTCTGAAATTATCTGAATTTATGTCAAAACCTAGACTTTCAACCATCAAAATGTAATTTATTAATATGTATTTGTGTACAAAATAACATATAAACATATTTTCCTATTCTATTTTGCCTGGAAACGCTTCCAACACGCTTGTGTGTCGCGTGAAAAATAGGCGTCGGTTCTATTTCTAGCATGCACGAGTTTCACGTGTCACGCAGGCAATCTGCAAGCTCTAACCTGTTAACATGGGAGCCGAAATAAAAACGGACACGCCACGCAGCTGAGACGCTTACGTCACGCAGCCAGTGTGTCTCCGGCCTAACCATACACTGTAAAAAAAAGATGGACGACGCCCCTTCGCTCTTTTCCATTGGAGAGAACTGAAGCCGCCAGTGTCCTGATATGGCGCTGACATATTGGAACTTGAGTCTGCGCAGTAGGGGTGGGGGAAAAAATCGATTCTTAGATGCATCGCGATGCGGACGTGGACGATTCTGAATCGATTCACAATTGTCAAAAATCGATTTTCAAAAAAAAAAATTTTTTTTTAGATATATATTTATAATAACGTAATATTGACGGAACGCGAAAGACGGAACTCTGAAGCGCGGAAGTGCAGTGGCCGGACCGTCTGTGGCGTGCACATAACAGACGCGGACGCGATGGCTGAGCGCCAAATCCAAACACCCTCCTCGTTAAAAGCTGACGTGTGGAAATATTTTGGCTTCTGAAGTTGAAGGGGGGAAAGGAGCTGGACAAGAGCCACACTAGTTGTAAGCTTTGTAGAGTAAAACTAAAATATTTCGGAAACAAGACACATGAAGCCAAATGACACGTTTCCAGCCAGAGGAGGAAAAACACTCGGCTGTAACGTTACCGGTGTGGTGCCGAATTCTGACCCCCGCCAAATTATTACCCCCCTAGTATGGTAGGTTTAGGATTAGTTGTGGGGGAGGAGTTAGGATTAGGGGTGGGGTTAGGATTAGGCAATCAGGTACTGATTTCAACGAGGGGGGTAATAATTTGGCAGGGAGTCGAAATTCGGCACAACACCGGTCGTTGTTATATTATTAATTTACTACAAATATGCTGCTAGTTCAGACACACATGTATTTTCCTGTTGGTTCTTTGCAATGTTAATAAAATATATTGTACGTTAATTCTTTATGGGTCATTACTTTGTACTTTTAAAGCAAAGTATTTATAGTCACACACACACAAAAAAAAGATTCTGATAATCGATTTAGCATCGAATCGCAGCCCTCTGAATCGTAATCGAATCGAATCGTGAGGTGCCTAGAGATTCCCACCCCTACTGCGCAGTAGCGTTTTCGGGACCAGTCATGCGCAGTCATGAGCAGGAAGTAAAGCCGCGAAATCAAGGCCCTGCCCTCACTCTCGCTGAATCAATCGCAAGCACACGCCCTGCACTTTTCTTAAAGGGATACTCCACTTTTTTTGGAAATAGGCTCATTTTACAACTCCCCCAGAGTTTTTACCGTTTTTGAATCCATTCAGCCGATCTCCGGTTCTGGCGGTACCACTTTTAGCATAGCTTAGCATACATCATTGAAGTGGACAAGACCATTAGCATTTCTAAAAAAAAAAATGACCAAAGAGTTTTGATATTTTTCCTATTTAAAACTTGACTCTTCTGTAGTTACATCGTGCACTAAGACCGACGGAAAATGTAAAGTTTCGATTTTCTAGGCTGATATGGCTAGGAACTATAGTCTCATTCCTGCGTAATAATCAAGAAACTTCACTGCCGTACCTTGAGAGCAGCAGGCGTAATGATATGACGCAGCGCCTGAAATTAGGCCACCTTCCGTCAACACAACGGAACTATTTTCAGGCGCTGCGTCATATCATTACGCCTGCTGCTCTCATGGTACGGCAGTGAAGTTTCTTGATTATTACGCAGGAATGAGACTATAGTTCCTAGCCATATCAGCCTAGAAAATCGAAACTTTACATTTTCCGTCGGTCTTAGTGCACGATGTAACTACAGAAGAGTCAAGTTTTAAATAGGAAAAATATCAAAACTCTTTGGTCATTTTTTTTTTTTAAATGCTAATGGTCTTGTCCACTTCAATGATGTATGCTAAGCTATGCTAAAAGTGGCTTATTTTTAAAAACAAACACTTGAAATTACATTAACGTGATAGAAATTACAGCAAATGACAGAAACTATCTTTAGAAAAAATATATTTGAAGTGTAATTTAATTATTTAGTTGGTCTCACGTCCCGTTGAATAACATGGGTAGGCGGGGCTTATGAGCTATACTAGGACCGGTCACTGGGGGGCGATCGAGACGTTTTGGCTACACTTTTGAGGGCTTGTGTGGCACGCTTGGGCCTAACATGGCAGGGCATCTCCGCAGGCACCACAAAAACATAGATTTATCTGTTAAACCAACAACTGTTTGTTTGTTTTGTGAACTTGAATGTCATCTTCTGTGAAGAAGACTGCAGTTGCAAAAGAGAAACTATGGCAGTTTATTTTGCTGAAGTTTCCAATTGACTAAAGATACAAATTATTATATTATATTATACGCACTTTATGTTGTTAATAAATGTTTTAAATGTAGAGTGGTACAATGACAATGTAGAGTGGTACATTGCGAACAAAGGTCAGATATTATATTGCATAAAAGTCTAAAATAGCATAACAACCTGTGCTTTAAAAAAATAAATGTAAAAATCGAGAATCGAAAGAATCTAAAATCGAATCGAAAGAATCTAAAATTTTGAATAGAATCTAAAATTACTCATAAAATGATAATAGAGGGCGGCAGAATTCTCAAAATCTTAAGAGTTAAGGTTAAACTTTTGTTAACCTAACAGCAATGACAAAAATCAGTATTTGTTTTTCTGCACTCACCTACAGTCCTCTATTGTAGGGCGTGACCTTAAAATGCAGAGACGATTCTTGATCAGAGCATCCAAGGATCCCTTAAGCAAATAAAGTTCATTGAAACATATTTGCATTTAAATATAAACAAAATGTGTATAAAGACATTAAGTATAAAACTTTCATCTTAAAGTGAAACGCACCCACTGCTCTTATAAAAAAAAACTCTACAGACCTCTTTAGAAAAAAAACATACAAAAGCATTTTATTTGAGGAGCTACAAAATAATTTTAGGCTTAATGCATAATAATAATAGCAAAATAAATAAACCGCAAAAGATGTTTAGTAAACAATGATTAATCAATTAAAAGGTTGTGTATAATGTCTGAACACTCTATATTAGACTAAGCAATTATATTGGTGGATTGGGATGCAGTTCCCATATTCATTTACCAAGACACATATTTAACCAACCTTGCACTAGAATCGCGATAAACCAGCCATGTGTTCTTATCTTCGTGTTGTGAAGGATCTTAGCGAGCAAGGCCAAATTATGTGAAACACTGACCAGCCCTACACAGCTTTCACGTTTTCATACGTTCACATCTCTTGTCATATGCTAATTTCCAATGTATTTAACTTATTCCTAAACACATAAACAACATCGGGTTTAAATGTAACGTTAGTGCTAGCTGCACTGCTAACATTTGGCTACAGAAGTCTCAATGACTACTACCGTTTGCCTCACTATAAGATCATTTTAAAGGAGCAACAAAACAAAGAGATAAGACAATATGCTTGCTAAACAATTCCGTGGTGTTGTGTTTGTGTAACGTACAAATAACTATAAGCTAGTTCAACGAACCAATGCCTGCGATAACAAAAAACAAGGTTCACCGATGCCCATGCGCACATGATAGCAGGCTAATTTAGCTCAATTAGCATACAGTCTATAATTCTTTATTTGACTCTCGTCGTCTAACCGATGCTAGCAAAGCATTCACGCGCTTTTTCGCATTTATTTGAATGTTGTCGTCGTGCGCGCTACACTGTGCGAGCCTTTGCTTAGCAACAGCGCGGGCCGAGCTGAACAGATTTCACCTGATCTTATCATGTTTAAACGTAAAAACGACGGCGCAAATCTTTTACAGTGCAATGAGAATCTACAATGACATATTATGCCGTTAATGTTGATAATTATTTGATACTTACTGAGGTATTTTTCGACGTTTTTCTATTCGTGTTGGATAATGAGGCTGAGGCGGCGGCGGCTTCTTCCCTGCACACAGGAGTTTGCTGCCTCTCGCGCATGCATCCGTCCAGTGGCGAGTCTAGCCAATCAGCATGCGCCTGAGCGAGTCGCTCTCGCGCCAAAAACAGCCTCGCGCTTATACAATGGGATGCGCACGCGCCACATAACTACTAAAACCACAGGTTTTGGTTAATATTTGTGATCTTTTTAAATTATATGTTTTTTAGAAAAATATGTTTTCTACTTTTTAGAAAAAAAAAAACATATTTTCAATGAGAGACATGAGTGTCTTTACATAATAAGTGCTATCGAATCTATATTAAAGAAAATATAACTTGTTAATTAATAAATTATTAAGCCCCTCTTATATTAAATAATACGTTTATTTAAATAAATAAATAAAAAGCGTACAGGTTTTGCTTTTCGAATTTTTAGAAAGATTTCCGATCAAACGCACTAACCTCTGCTCTCGGGATTGACTTGAGTCTCAGCCAATCAGACGTCCCCAAAAGGCAAAACAAAAGCATTAGCGGGAACAGTAAACCAATCATCGTCTAACGTAGGAGGGGACTGTTTTCACCCAAGCTATTTATGGTATCTCCCCCACTTCTCAGTGTGTGTCTCACCGACAGGCGTGTGGCGCAGCACAAACAGAAACAGAAACAGTCGGTAGGATGTCTAAAGAGGTAGGTTGACTTTAATATAGTTATTTAGGAGTTGCAACAGCCTACTTTTAAGCAATGTGGTTGTGTGCGTGTTTTCGAATTTAATTTTGACTTTATTCGTTGCTCTTTGTTATTTGCAAAGAGCGTGTTCGAGCCGCCATTTTAACTCTTGTAGAATGCAGACATGAGGCCGCATGATTGCATCGAAGGTTGTGTTCCCGAAAATAATTACTACTTTGTTTTAATTACTCATTCGCCGTATTTATAATGGTCTACATTTATTTACTACCACCACTGTTTGGCTGAAACCGAGATACTATTACAAATAGGCCGCATGGTCCGGAACCAACATGGCGGAGGTCTTCGTTCACCTCGCTTTTATGTTAACGTTACCTCAAGGTCTCATGAGTCACGACGCTTCGCGCTCGAATGTATTGTTAGTTTAATGTCTGCCTGCAGGAAATTGACTCGGTGCACAGCTTTAGTGTTCACTTACTCAGCTATTATATGGATTGTTCTTTTCAGGGCCAACCACGTGAGCCAGAGCAGCTGCGGAAGCTCTTCATTGGAGGGCTCAGCTTTGAAACCACAGATGATAGTTTGCGGGCGCATTTTGAACAATGGGGAACCCTAACAGATTGTGTGGTAAGTCCCTATCTATTTAGCTGTTTACTATATTATGAGTTTTTTTTAATGGTATGATAAGGGCCAGTGTTTAACCATTATGCGTATGTGTTTTTCTCAGGTGATGAAAGACCCAAACACAAAACGATCCAGGGGTTTTGGGTTTGTCACCTATGCTGGTGTGACTGAAGTCGATGCTGCTATGGATGCACGCCCCCACAAGGTCGATGGTCGGCTTGTAGAGCCCAAACGAGCCGTGTCTCGAGAGGTGAGAACTTACGTAATGTAAACTTTCTAAAGAGATATATGTATGGAAATGCCTAAATGCATGTCTGTTTCAGGACTCCAACAAGCCATTTGCTCACACAACTGTGAAAAAGATCTTTGTGGGTGGCATTAAGGATGACACTGAGGAGGACCATCTTCGTGGCTACTTCGATGTGTTTGGAAAGATTGAAGCCGTTGAGATAATGGTCGACCACAAGACCGGAAACAAAAGGGGCTTTGCCTTTGTTACGTTTGATGACCATGATTCTGTTGATCGTATTGTCAGTAAGTGCTTTAGTTTCGGTGTCAACTTTTTAACTTCTTAATATTGTATGGTTTAAAAAAAATAACCCTGGTATGTTCCCCCATTAGTTCAAAAATACCACACTGTGAATGGGCACAACTGTGAAGTCAGAAAAGCTCTTTCTAAACAAGAAATGCAAAACACTGGGATGAACATGAGAGGTAAGTTTGTTCATGGTTGTCCCCGGTATCTCTCTTAATACACTTGGCTGTATTAATTTATTTTAAATAACTCTGTAGGCCGTGGTGGTGGTGGTGGTGGAGGTGGCGGCGGCGGCAGCAACGGTGGAGGTGGAAACTTCAACAGATATGGCAATAATGGTGGCTACAACAATGACTTTGGAGGCGGTGGTGGGGGCGGTGGCAACCGCGATGGATACTTCGGAAGAGGTACATGCCAATGAAGAAATTTTAAAGTGTTCTGAAGTCTGTATTTGAGTTTTATAGTGACTTAACAGCTTTTTTCACAATCCTGTTGCAGGAGGTAGAGGAGGTAATGGTGGAGGAGGTGGTTATGGAGGGGACTGCTACAACAATGGATTTGGTGGAGATGGTATGCGTTTGTGTTCTTTAGTATTTTGAAATTTAACTGATTGTAAATGTTAAGTAGAGTTGGATATCATTTTGAGTTTTCTGATTCTTGTCGATTCTAGAATGTTTTTATAAACTTATTCAAAGCATTTTTGCAAAAAAAAATTGCATCTGAATACCATGAACAAATCAACAGGCTAAAGAACAAGGAACTTTTGCATATGGTTTTAACAAATACCGGAGCAAAAAACAACTAGCCAAACTAATACATTTCCAGCATGAAAGACCAAAGGACACTCTGTAACTGAACAAAAACAAGTTGGCAATGGCACAAATACAACTGAACAAAGATGCTGCTAATAAATAAAACCGTTTTAAAGGGGAGGTATAATGCCCTTTTCATGAGATGTAAAGTCTCCGATGTCCCCAGAGTGTGTATGTGAAGTCTGTGCTTTGGTTGTGAAAACATTGTGCAAGACTGAATGGTTTAAATTTAAAGTACACAGAAATTTAGCAATTCCTGTGACTTTCTCCAGGTGGTTATGGAGGTGGTGGAGGCGGCGGCAGCGGTCCTGGTAACTATGGTGGAAATCGTGGATATGGAGGTGGTGGAGGAGGACAAGGTTATGGCAACCAGGGCGGAGGTTATGGTGGCGGTGGAAACAGCAGTGGTGGATATAATGACAATTACAACAATGGCAATGGAAACTTTGGAGGTGGTGGTGAGTACATGCAAATAGGTTTACAATTAAGATTGACAAGTGCCTGGATTGTCGGCAGTAACAGTGTATGACTTAAATGTTCATAGGTAACTTTGGTGGCGGCGGCAGCGGCGGTGGCGCCAGCAGTGGAGGCGGTAACTACAGTGACTTCGGCAGCTATAACAACCAGCAGTCCAATTATGGTCCCATGAAAGGGAACTTTGGAGGTGGTGGTGGTAGTAGTGGCAGCAGCAGCGGAGGAGGGAGGAACAGTGGCCCATATGGTGGTGAGCTCTTCATAATGGCCTTCTACACATGTCCCTTTAGGTTCAAATCTCCTTGTATAAACAATTTGGATCCTAACATGCATGATGTCTGTTCTAGGTGGCTATGGAGGTGGATCCAGTGGTGGTGGTGGATATGGTGGTGGCTCTGGTGGTAGACGGTTTTAAGCTCAGAAGAGGTTTGTTTCAAATTCTGCTGTCTCCTTAAATAGACTTGTTTCAGATTACTTTATTTACAGGGTAACAATACCTATATGTTAGTCTTGGACTGAATGCTCTTCATTAAACTGTAACCTTGCTGTACATCTGGTGTAGAAACAACCCTCAGTTAGTGTGCAGCTTAACAATTGTTGTTCATATTGTTCAACAGGACTGAGTGCTTTAGGAGAGGACAGCAAGAGAAGTGACAGGGCAGATGCAGGTTTACATCCCTAGATCTGCTCAGCCAAACAGGTTTGGCAGATTTACAGCTGCCACCAGAAGAAGTGTACAGTAGCGCTATCGTGTGTGGGACATCATGAATTTGTCATCATGCAAACTTATTTTATATTGTCTATTGAGGAAAAAGCATTCCAATGAGGTTTTATGTAGAATTACTTTCAGTCGTTATGGTTTTTATTTTATGTAACCAATCAAGGTGAAATAAAACATAATTTTTGTTTTTTTTAAAAGATGTGCTGTATTAGTCGTTTTTGGTTTCTGGGGGTTTTAGTGTAGTACTCTTGAACGTAATATGGGAGTTTCTATGAGCCTTTTTAGTAGTAATTCAATTTTAAAGACTGTCTTCTGGCTCTTAAATGGAAATCCATTCTTGTTAAATTGTAAATTGAACTGATTCAAAAAGCATTGGCTGTTAAATGCAAATGCTTAGAGTAGTGGACATTTGGTTGCATATCAGTCTAGCCATGGGAGCAAGCTGAGAAAGGAGTAGCAAGATCATCGCCCTGTGAAGAAGCAGAGCAGGGAGTACAGGGCGCTACTCAAAGACTAGCAGGCAGCGCTTTTAAAACTCCTGTAGGTAAGAACAGACTTCTCCACTACCGCTGGTAACTAAGAATTGTATTAGATGAAGCTGTACAGATAATGTGAACTTCCCATTCAGTGTTGTGTTTACAGAGGAAGTAACTGCAGTCAGCATAGTTTGGTGACGCTTTTATAAAATTGAAACATTTTTAATGCATGCCCAGTTATTTTTTCCACATGTTCCATATTTAACTTGCTGACCATGATACTCTTGCTTTTTCAGGAACTGATGAGTGAATCATCTCTTGAAATGAAGACATGTTTGTCCATTTAAACTGGTGCTATAATAAAAGGTAGTTGCTTTTGTAATGTAATTTTCATGTGTTTACAGTCTCTCTGAATCTCAGACCTTTTTTTTTTCTCTCTCTCGTTCTAGGACAAAGATGCAGCTGAATAGATTTATTTTTTATACCTGTGGTTTTTACACTTTTTACAAATAAAACTTTTAATGCAACAAATGATGTGAGTTGGTTGTCTTGTTGAACCCATTTAATAAAAGTTTGTATTTTGGACATGTAATACTGATTCTTCAAAGTTTGACTAATGTTGTAATGTACAAAAGTGTTTTTACCAAAATTCTTGCAGTATGGTTTAAAGTATACCAAGTAAAAGTAGTCCCCTAAAATAAAATCTTTCATTCTGTAGACATGAATGTATATTGTGTAGTTATCATCTGCTCTAAATGACTGAAGTTTCCATTCATCACAAATGATTTGAAGTAATTTAAATTCATTGGCCATATACATTTAGGTTTGTTCAGCCAAAAAGTTCATTCACCCTCCAGTACTGTATTCTGTTGCACCAAGTAAATGTTGCCGTCATTAGTTTGTTGTAGTGAATACTCGTCAACTGAATATGGGTGTCCCTCCTCGTCACGTAGCTGTGAAAACACTTGGGTGTAAAGATCTGAGAGCCGACATTTGATAATGGCTAGGTTTTGCTGAAACTCCAGTCTTTCTCTGGTTAAATGTTCTCTTTGAGCTTTAAGTTGGCCCAAATCGTGTTCTAAATGCACAATGTTCTCCAACTTCCGTTTGCGGCAGTTCTGAGCTGCTACTTTGTTCTTCCCTCGTCTGCGAATGTCCTTCACGAGTGCCATTTGATTGTCGCTCAGCGTGAATTGGGTCAAAAGCTCGTTGAAGTCATCCACTGGTAGGTTCACAATCTTCTCCAGGGGGAATGGGATTTTTAGAGCGAGGGCTCGCCGCTCATCTCTGCTCAGGGGTACAGGAGCACAGTTTGATTTTGGCTTTGGGTACGGAGCCTGATATGAACCTAGTCTTGTTAAACCTGAGCTATTTAGCTGATCATGCAGTGCTGTGGGTAAAACTGCCAGTGGTTGGTAAGTCTGCTGGTTGATAGCTTGCATATTTGCAGCTGTGGGAAAAGATGCTCCAGGATATGAGCTGTAGGGCTGCTGGTAGTCAGCAGACCCGAGCAGAGTAGGCCGCATGCGACACTGTTCCCCAATGCTTTCGAATTGACTTTCAGCATAGCCCATCGTACCATCTGCAGGTAAGTACGTAGGTACTCCGTGCACCCCATTCTCAGGAGAAGCGAGCGGCGGGCTTGAACCAAGCGACAAACCGGAATCTGACTCCAGATCATCCGTGCAAACTTGTTTGATTTGCCCTGTGCCATGAAGGTTGATAACGCCATCTTTCGCAATCCCATGATTGCGTGTTGCTATGTTCATGTGCTCCAAGAGACTCATGAGCGGTGGATGAAGAGCTTGCGTATTCGCAAGCGTTCTGGGGGAACCGTGGCCGTAGTGCATATCCATGTGTGGGTTCAAACGCTGATAGGGTGGCATAGTTTCTGGGTATGCGTTTTCATAAACACCAGCATGATGGGCATCACAAGCAGCTGGAATGGTTTCTGGCTGAGGTTGACTCATCCCGAACCCCCCTTGAGAAACCATGGGCTCCATGGAGAGGTATGGGATTGCTTCAAAGGGATTCTCATTGGGTACCTCAAACTCCTGTGACAAAAATAATGTTTTAATAACAAGAACTTCCAGTTGGTGATTCAAATCAAACTCTTCTAAAAGAAAACACTCTGGGAACCTAGTAAAGCGAAGGTCTGATCTCAGTAACAGTTAAATTGTGCTGCAGAGGAGGGTTGTATTCAGTCAGCTGCTCTCTACAGGACCGGCCCACCTGGGTGAATGTGCCACCCGTAGCTTATGCAGGTCTTACTTAGGAGCGCTCGGGTTTCATGTCGAAACAGATGGTCATTGTGCTATGCAGGGGGCTGTCGGCAATATACAGCAGTCACCCTCTTTCTCTGTCTGCCTTTATCCTCGCATCACTCAATTGGCCCATTGTTGCAGATCGTAGCTAAACTCAATGTGTGTTTATAGAGGATTCAGCATTAGAAAAATGTAATAAGGCCACCGTTTCACTAAGGCAGCTTGCACTCACTCTAAAATGATTGGCTGTATCCTACCACAAAATAATCCAATGTTTTCTTGAGTTTTGGTGTTTGTGCATGTAAAAGAGGAACCTGGTGGGGTGTTCCAGTGTACTGACCTGAAGATCTGTGATGGCCATCAGTTCCTGCCAGGCCAAGTCCATCTCCAAATGCTGGGGGGAACGATGTGCCCGGAATCCAGTGACATTGGTGGACATCGACACCTCCCCATGCAGTCTTCCTGGGTTTGCCAGTCCCTTAAAATTAAATGCAGTTTTTGGAAACCTTGACATGGACTGTTGCACCATGCAAAATAAATAAATAAATAAAATTCAACTTGAATTTTTGTCTTTTAAATATATGTATTTCTCACTTAAAATATAGAAAAATCATTGGAACAAGATCAATTTACACTGCATAAGGCAACTTTTTTCAGCACATGCATTTATATGCATGCATATATATATATATATATATATATATATATATATGTGAACGAGTCAATAGTAAACAAGAAAGATAAAAAATTAAACAATATTTACTTTAATGTATTTTTCTCTCTCAGTTTCTAAACTTGAACTCTAAAATTACTCTAAGCCAATCAAAAGGTGACACCAGTGTCTAATGAAAAATAAAGAAAAGTGTAGACCAAGAAATAACCATGTGCATATTTCAATGTCTACAACGAAGCAACATTTTTCTTTGAATTAACTTTTCAAAAGTACATTTTTTACATTATTCAAAATTACATTTTATATGTCTGTATTTTGACTTTTTTTTGTTAACTTTTTTTAAGTTTGAAGTAAAAAATATGCTACTGCAGTAAGAGAAAATATACTTGTAAAATAGATATTAAATATACATTCTCATGAGTTTTATTTTGAATTATTTTTCTTTACTTAAAAGACTAAAGTCATTTTTAGCAATGTATAAGCAGATTATTTTTTTTTATTATTCCCGCGTTTTCTAGTTGGGAAAACAGCCGATTTATAGTATCATTTTCCTCATAGATACTCACCTCACAGCTGATCCTCAGGGGAAATACACCGTTGATTGCTGAACACATTCAGGACAGACCCCTGATGCAATGAATCAATCTAAAACATTAAAAGAAATCATTTTGAACTTTTTTTGTATTTGTCGAACATGAAAGAGATAACAGACACACAAACCATGCTTGCGTTCACATCACGGGTAATATAGGTCAGTTGTGACCACATGCCAACAATCTTAAGAACCAATTTAAACTGACTTGAGTACATTTCCATCTACACACCCGTAAACCAAGGATGATGTCACTCTGAAACTTCAAAAATGAACCTTAAGAATATATATATATATATATATATATATATATTCAATTGTTTCCCTTCCCATGTCCTCCAAATGTCATGTTGTGTCACTGTTGTGCTGGATTTGTCCTATCAGCTGGCTTTTCGAACAGTAATGTCAACCCTTGATAAGACAATCTTTCGGGAGCCAGCCTGTTCTCCAGTAAACGAAGGCAGGGGCCTAACCACAGACATCAGAATGTCAGGAAGACTTTCTCAGTACACTCCTTCATGTTGATAATAAATGAGCTGATGTATAGTGATATTTAATATGCATTAGCATTCATTCCGGTTACCACTGTGTTTTTATCCTGTTTTTATGATTGTGTGAAACAGATGCCTCATTATCTGGTGGTTTGCTTTTATTGGTGAAGCCTTTTTTTTTTATACACAACAACTGCTTGAAATTTTTATGGCGGGTTCCTGTTAAATTGGGCATATATTCTGGTGCGATAAAAACAATGCAACTTTGCATTCAGATGTCATTCTGCTACTAAGTTTTAACTGTACCAATGAGAAAAACTGTTATGTTTCTAATTCAATTGAACAATTTTACAAGAGTGAACATTTTGTATGAATGCTGGTTATTTTTGCCATGAAACAATAACAATTTTAATCAATTTTGAAAGCTGTTCAATCTAGCTAATTGTACAAATGTAAATCCACTGTCAGGTACAAGTTTGACAGGATGTGACGGGAATAATGCTGTTTAACATCTAATGGTTTTGTATTTCATGTGTGGTGAGATATTCAACAAAACACTTCTTTCCTTTTGACATTTTGAGGGTAAAAGACATATATCCTGCCTTTACCGCGGTGTCTAGCTTATTTCCTTTGACAAGTTTCTAAAATTTTGAAAGGGACAGGGCTGTGGGACAGGCCTCCCAAGTTTCAACATCAGCTGTGGTAACAGTGTACATGAGCTAATAGTAAGCAAGAAAGATGAAAAATTAAACAATATTGTCCTTAATTTAATAAATTTTTCTCTCTGATTTTTTAAACATTACTATGCATTGCAACATTTGTGATCATCAAAAAGTGACTGCAGTGGTTCACGTCTAATGAAGAATGAAAAAAAGTTTAGAGAAAGAAATAACCATGCGCATATATTTTAAAGTCTTCAACGAAGCAACACTTTTTTTAAAATCAACTTTTCAAAAGTTAATACTTCAATTTAATCTCAATCTCATAGGCCTATATATATATACACACACACACGCACATAACATAACAACTTTGAATCAAGTAATAATCAAGTCAACTTATATTCAGTTTTTGAAGCAAAAAAAGCTAACACTATTCATTTTTTTAAGCAAGCAAAGTTAACACTCTTATGACTACAATTATGACTCAGAAAACGTCATTTAGAATCTTGACGATTTGAAAGTAAACCAGAATTGCTCAATATCTGTCAACAACTGCCATATTTACTGAAAAAACGTCCCAATAAAGCCCTCAAAAAAAGATGAAATGACAAACTGTACCTTATTAGCATTTCCTTGAGCACTGAGCTCAGATGAAAAAGTCTTCACAATATCATATTATCCTGTGAGCAGAAACCAGTGACCCCTGTGTTAAACTGCAGAGTGAAAGAGTCCGCTGCATGCTCTTAGTTTTGAACTACAAGTGTGCATGCGCTCAACCTGTCTTTCTCTCTCATTCACTCTTTCTCCCACTCACCCTGTCTGCTTTTGGCTGTCACTCACACAAATGGGATGGGTCTATGGGCGATGCAAGCAGGTTTCCTGTAAAGCACCCACACTTTTTGTCCTCCCAAATGCAACACTTGCACTTTAATATGTTTAAAATACGTTGCCCACAACAACAAAAAAACTAAAAAATGGTTAAGCCACGGATATATATAAGCTCGCACTTGTGGACTTCCCAGACCAAATATAGATTTAGACCCTTCAGATTGTGGTTTATGGACAAGTGATTCCCATCCACAGCTTAGGTGTGTACGTGTCCAAAAGTCTATCACTTCCTCAGTGAGAACCATGTGTTTCATGGGGTGCAAAAATGACCTGAGGTGATCATGCACACCCATGTGAGGGATGTGGTTTGAACACAGACACTATGAACAGGCGCACCTGGAGTTAAATCTGAGATTGCTGTGCGGAGGAGGGGCTGTTTTCTGACTTGCTTTAGTAGGGATGGAATGTACACCTTCAACAGGTAAGAAAGGCCACATTGTTCCTGTATCTGCCGCACAACCACAAACAGCCAGTGAAAGCGGGGGGGACGGACGGGAGGGTGGAAGAGCGTGTCTTACATTGCAAGTGACCATTCGAGTCCTTGATGAAGTCCTTCCGAAATCACACACACGGGACAATCGGTAGGATTGTTCAGGCACAATCGTCAGGCGAGGTGAAAGGCTGTGTTTTCCTTGTTCATTTGAAGTGCTTCATTTTATTTGACCAATGACTTATCATGTTACACCCACCCTCGATAATACACCCCTTTAAGGTGCATGATGGTCCACGGTCTTTAGAAACCAAGGATTGCGCGAGTGCATGCAGTTGCACTTCTGGTCACGAAACATAAAAAAATAAACAATATTTACTTTTATTTAATACATTTGTCTCTCTCTCTTTTTTATATATTACTCTAAACTATGCATTGCAAGTTTCGTGATGATCAAAAAAGTGTCTAATGAAAAATAAAGAAAAGTTTAGACCTATATAACCATGCACATATTTAAATGTCTTCAAAAAAGCAACTCTTTTTAAAATTATTTTATTTTATTTTTTAATTACATTATCTCAATAAGATAACCCCATTATCAACAATAATCAACTTATATTCAGTTTTTGAAGCAAAAAAAGTTAACACTATTCAGTTTTTTAAGCAAGAAAAGTTAACACTTAACAATTATGACTCAAAAAATGTCATTTAGAATCTTTGAAAGATTTGAAAGTAAACCAGAATTGCTCAATATCTGTCAACAACTGCCATATTTACTGAAAAAACTTCCCAATAAAGCCGTCAAAAAAGATGAAATGACAAACTGTACCTTATTACTATAAGGAAAACATGTAATATCTGTCAAATGGCATAGAATATATTTACAATATATAATGACACTAGTCAACTTATGTATTGAGCTTCCGAAGCAAACCATTTTTTACATACGCTTTACATTTAATGTGTGCTTGGTTCTTAAAGTTCTCAATATTACACCAGTTAAAGAGCGTTCAGGTCCATGCGGTCCTCAATCATTATAAACCAAAGACTGCCAGTGTAGAGAATTTCCGATAAAAAATGTCAACATATTAGAAGCTCGATTGAGTAGGCCTACTACGAAATAGAAAGCTATATATGACTAAAAACTGCTTATCAAGGCTTGTTACAGCGTTGTGCCCGTGGTTTCTTGATACTTGTTCAAGCTCGTCTTTTACAATGCGGTGTTTTCATTCCCACGCGTTAATATGTTTGTATGTAAATGCACCATAATGATGGACGTAGGTGGCTGACATCGTCCAAAGAGGTGGGCGCATGCCAGGAACCAGAGAGACGGGACTTCCCAAGCCTTGATTCCTAGCACCCACCCACCCACCCGACTCCACCACCTACAAACACACACATGAAAACAGCCTGCTATTACATCCACCACAGTGGTTTGGGATTTGGCGTGTTCCAACCTAAACAGCCGTTCTGTCTCTCTCCACACATAGTTCAGGTCATCGAGTCGCTCGCACAGTTCTGTATCTCACTGCTGTGTGACCTTGTTGTCCTTTTCATCTATTTATTCTTGCTGTTCATTGTATATTTTAATGTGTTTTAATGTGTTTTTGTATTCATTTGACCCTCTGTCACGTTGTGGCCTCGTGATGCTCTTGACCCTCTTTGGTTTGACCACAGGAAGTGAAACAGCCCCATGACACCATCCTGACCCATCCAACTATTTCTATTCTTCCTGCTTCCCATAGGTAAGAGGAAACTCATAGGATTTTTTTGTTTTGTTTTAAAGTTTCAGAATATATTTTTTCCTTAAAAAAAGAAGAAAGTTGACGAAAACTGGATGGTTTCTAAGAGTAGTAAGATATTCTATAGCCTACAAGTAAAAATAGAGTAGTAAGACATATACAATTAAATATAAACAAATTATTATTATATATATATATACTGTATATATAGCGCTTTCAAATTGTTTTATTGCGATTAATTGCATCTATCAAATAATTGGGTATAAATATATATATATGACTTTTATGCTAGATGGGATTAATCATGATTTGATATCACTAATAAAATTTAGGCCTGTAATAATTTCCTTTTTTCAACCTTTATATTTTTTATGTAATATAATAATATTTAGTGTATCTATATAGTAATTTATACTTATTTATTTAAATTTGAACTACTGTGCAAAAGTTTGGGTTCAGTAAGATTTTATTTTTTACAGAAATAAATTCAACTTTTATTTAGCAAGGACATTAAGTTGATCATAAGTGTCACTAAAGACATTCATAATGTTACAAAAGATTTACATTTCAAATATAAAGAAAAAAAAATCAATTTTAAAATATATTAACATAGAAAACAGGTATGTTCATTTGTTTTAATATTTCACAATATTACAGTTTTTACTGTATTTTTAATCACATAATTGGAGTCATGGTGATCATAAAAGAGACTTCTTTCAAAAACATTAAAAATATTACCGAACCCAAACTTTTGAACAGTATTTATACTTTTAACAACTAATTTATCCTGTCAAAAAATATAACATTAGTATCCGATTGTCATTAGCCACAAGTAAACATGAGAACACGTTTTAAATTACATGGAAAATCCTCCCTAGCTACTTATGAGAGCATTCATGTCTTTGGTTTGTGGTCCATTGGGAAAATTCATTCTGCTGCTGGGAAAAGTGGAAAATATGTGTATGAGTAATCAAGAGTAACGTAATTTCATCCGATGCAAAATATATATACTGTAACAGCTCTAAATAAATGGCATTCCCTTAAACCTCAAATAAAGTATATGTTTTAATTCAACTCACAGTCCAGTGCGGTGCATTCATATATCAATCTGTTTACTAAACACACATCCATAAGCATGCCTGCAAATAGTCAGGATCATAATATGTGTTATACATTAAATGAGGGATTTTATCATTTAAACCTGAAAATAAGCAGAAATGTTTAAAGATTTTGAAATATTTAAGGCAAAGAAAAGCTATAATGTCACCTGCAGAAATATTTAATAATCCACACTATCACTTATGTACACCAAATGAGCAAATTTAGGACATTCACCATGTGAACTCCTGATTTCATCGAAGAACAAGATGCATTTTTGAAGCCCATGCTTTATTGTGCAATAGAGCTGGCCGAGTGAATTAAAGAATACAACGACCGTGTAAGCAGCTCCCCTCTACCCCCGTCTCATGCCAGAAACCACAACAGTTAGCATGAGCACCTAGACAAGCCTTTATCAGCGCTCAGCAGAGCTTCCGCCACCCAACATCCCCTTTCCCCCTGGTCTCCTCTCCTTCTGCAACCACAACTCTCACCACACCCAAGCCCACACTGGGAACCGGTGGGATACAGAGCCACCGTCATGTCAGACACACATCACAGGCCAGTGATGATGATGATGATGATGATGATGTCCATCAATGCTCTTCTGATACGGTGTGGAAAAGATGAGCGGACACGTACTATATGCCGTGACCGCACAGATAAAGATCTTATTGTGAAAGACGTCCGATTATCTGAAGAGTTTTATCTCAAGCACTATTGGGACACAGTTATGCGCAATGATACTGTGGGCGCAGGTTCCTCATTTGGAGTCTGTCAGGTGTAACGATTGTTTGGTGACAAATAGGATTCTAAGAAGATCATCTCTGTTGCAAATATTTCCACTGTACATTAGATGAACCATTAGAGCAGTGCTATTTGAGGAGTCAAAGACTTTATGTAGGGATACTCATATAAGACTTGTGTAATGATTTAGAAATTATTCCAACTGCCGAAAACATTGTAGGCCTTATGAATGTTTTACTAGACAAAACGAATTGCAACAAGTACAACAAGCTCTAAATGGCTGCAACTATAAACACACACAGATTTACTATAAACACACCAATATGTTTGCTGAAATAAGTATTAATATGTTTTTGAAAAAAAAAAAAAAATTGACCCAAAATTTTCAAATGTTAGTATATATGAATGCACCACAAAACAAAGACACAAATGCTACGCTGAATATAGGCTGAAAATAAAGATTATTGTTCTGGGAACAGCACCGTGGAGCTATGATCAAAAATGCATACTTTTTATATATATATACAGTATATTGCAATATTACTGATTTTTTTAAATATATATATATATTTTAAAAAATCTGTAAAATTGCAAAAATATTACCAATTAAAATAGCTTTCTCTATGGTAATATATTTTAAAATATATTAAGATGCAAAGCTGAATTGTCAGCATCATTACTTCAGTCTTCAGTGTCACATGATCCTTCATAAATCATTCTAATATGCTGATTTGCTGCTCAAGAAACATTTTGTATTATTGTCAATGTTGAAAACATTGCTTAATTTAACTTTTCTTTTGTGGAAACCATGATAAAATGTTTTCTTTGGTGAATAAAGAACAAAGAACAGCACTTGTCTTTACTGTCACTTTGGATCAATTTAATGCACCCTTTCAGAATAAAAGTATTAATTTCTTTCAATAAATAAATAAATAAATAATCAAACTGACCCCACACTTTTGAAAAGCAGTAGCCTATATAATGAACATGGCAAATAATATATAAATAATATAATATATAATAA